AAACAAATATTTTATTTATTTTATTTAAATATATTGTTTCAAACAAAAAGTTTTATTAATGTTACATTTCACTTGGTTCCTGTAATATGTTGTTTTAAATAAATACCAAATAAATACCAAAATTACATATTCAGTCAACAAAATAGTTTAAACATGAAATCTTGTTTAATTCAATCAAATAAGTTTTTCTGTGTAGGATTCAACGTAGATAAACCTTTCAATTGTTGATTAATTTAATATTCACCGATTTAACTCAGTAGTTAATGTATCAAACTTTATACACTGGATCTTGTCTTCTCTTCTTTTCATGCTGTCTCAATATATAAGATTCGCGATCCTCTTTTATCTTGTGACATATATTATATAGCTCTGTGTATTAATTTAGTGCCTTTTTAATGTTTTTCTTTTCCTTCGACGTCTATAATAAAACAATACTTTGAATGTGCTGATTATGAAATTATAAATAACTATTTATATAACATAGACTGGTAAACTATATTAGCAAATATTTTTGTTGATGCAGCAATGATTTTTCTTTATATACAATTAAGTTTTGCAATTTCCCATTTTGTTCCAATTCATACTATAATTCGGTCTACATATCCTTTCTGGTTCTCAAGAAAGGTGATTGCTCTAACGAAAGCTAAAAAGGAGGCGCATACCAAGTATAAGTAATTAAATTCATATTGTGACTATCTGATTTTTTCTAATTTTAAAACAGACTGAAAAAAGCTGAACATTAATTGCTGGACTTCTTATGTTAAAAAAACAAAGCTTGTTTTATCAAACGATTGTAAATCATTTTGGAGCTTTGTTCGGTCGGTTCGTACATCTGGTTCTCGATCTATTCGCATTCTTTATAATTCAGGTTTTTGGAGGATAGTGTTTCTGTATATATAGAATAGGATATGTTATACATGTGTTGGTAGAGGGACATCCCTCGCCAATGCATCACTGTGTTATACACGAGGTAAAGAAAAAAAAGCAAAACGATTGGAAGTATTCTTGTCTTCTTATGAATTCACGCTACTTTTGTTTACAAGATATAAGGTTTCCCGTGTCGTATAGGTAGTACAAAGTATTCATATATGTAAGATGTTTAAATATGAAAACGAAAAATGTCGCTAACGTAGAGTCTAAATAACTCAGTAGTAAAATCAGTCGCCTGGCAAGCGGGAAATGAAGTTCGATCCTAGCCAAGTCTGTCTCGCTCCGGTTTTTTACCTCGTATATGACATTAAGAGGTCAGATTATGCAACACTCTAAAAAGAAGCATACGTTTAGAAATTAATTTTACAAAAATGAAACCGATTATTTTGGAACATTGCATATTTATCATGTGACTATTAAACTATATTTCCAATATTTTCATTAGAAAAAACGTATAAATAAGTGAGTAACACATGGCTGAATTTATGATTCCAAAAGTACCACTGCAATCGGCGGGAAAGATAGTACTTATTCTATTCATCTGAAATCAAGTCCAAAGAAAAAATTAAATAATATGCTTGTAGTTGGGGAATAAACTTAAATTTAATGTTTTAGAATTAAAATTACAGAAATATTCTATTCGAAAATCGAATATCGAAATTTCGCATCTTTTTTGTCATCATGCACTAACAAAAAGATATTTATTTTAATGTTTCTCTAAATTTTTTAGGTTTATCCTTCAATGGTATGTATCTATTGAAAGTAGATAAATTTCAAGTCGATCGGTTAATTATGTTTCGAGTTATCTTTCCCGCCGATCAATAAAACGTGGTTCCTATAAAAACGTATTTAAAGTTTGAAAAGAGTTTCTTGAAACATAACATAAAAATTTTGCAACTGTCTAATCACCTATTCCTGCCATATATTAACTCTTTAGCTTCTTTGTATAAATCATTCCGGGTGGCTAATTCCTTCCTTCTCGCCTTTCTTGCTTCCTTTATAATTTGGGATACGTGCAGATTCGCGATATCGATCTGTTGTTTGCGAATATTTGACATTGCGATCCGATTATTATTCTCATTAGTTGGAATATCTGCAAATATATTTGGAATGGTATCCATCATTATAAATGGTAGCTGCCATTTTCGCAGCTATTTTGATTATTTTTAATAGATAATTTTTAATATTGAATATTTTTAATAAAAGCCGCAACGTGTATGTTTAAAAGCAAACATCCAAACAATGAAATTGTGATTTCCATTACTGTTTTAAGTATTCACGGTGTTTGTTTCTGAATCTGCTATTACCTTTTAAAACTTAAACTAATTGTAAAAATATTTATATTGAGTCTGTCTATCGACGCGCAACGTAAGCCATATTTCCGTGTCATGTATCGCTTGCTTCAAAGTCGCATATTATAATACTTATCAGAAATTTCATTATAATATTTTAGAAGTATATTTTTAAGACTATAAAGTTATAAAAAATGCCAAAAAAAATCGATTTTTTTGAACTGTTACATCAGTCTGATCCCTTAAAAGTGGACATGTATGGATACAAACATCTCGGCGATGTTCTGACCATTTTTCCACAGTAGTTTTGCAATACCGGAAGTCGACAAATGTATCCCTAATTATCCTGTACATTTGTACCACGTCGTAATGTATTTCTTCACAATCCTCTTGAAGTGAAGGCCTCTTGATTTCAAAGTACTAATGTCCCTTGTAATTACGTAGAGTTTATATTTCAAAGTGTACTTTCAATTTTTGACAACACATGGTTAACAATGTGCGTCTTCCTCCTTTTCACCCTCGCGCATGTCCACGCGCCTTCGCGTACGCTCAAAGAATACATCGCGTAATTGTTTCCGTCTGTTCAAATGCGTGATCGATAACGCGAAACTGTCTCAATATTTGCTCAATGTCCGAGTGCGATAACGCGATGTCGCAATCCGCTGTACTTTGTTCTATAACGGAAATGTACGCGCACGCCGCCGTGCTTAGAGAAACCAGTTGGAATAAACAAGAGGTTAAACACATAGTCCTACACTCTGTACTTTAAGTCGCCGTATATACCGGAAATTTGCAAACCGAGAGGGCGTGCGACGACGAAATGATAAACTTTTGTCAATGAGTAAATATAAATGCGAGAGTTGTGTGTGCATGTGTGTGTGTGTGTGTGTGCGTGTATGGATTTTTAAACGACACTGTCACGCGATGGTAAATTCTCCATTCGAGCTAAAACCCGCGAATTTGCGAAGACAAACTCGCGCCGTCGTTTCTCGATTTGCTGTGAAAGGTAAAAGATAAACATATATACGGATAATAGCTTATAACGTAACGCACCGCGAGCTTCGCGGTAAAATCCTCCCGTCGCCCTGCAATCGACGTATGCGAGGTTTTTGCTTGATCTAGAACTAAGGAGGAGACAGGATACGCCTCCGACAACCCATGATCCTTGACACCTGGAAACGGGCCAAGCACAGGTCTTCCGGGGGCGTCGAACTTATGCCGCCGACAGACTTCTAAAATTATAGCTCAGCTGCGTCAGCAACTACGGTGTTTGTTTTCATCTCGATGTCAGCACGACGATCCAGGTACAGGGTGTTTCATAACATGTGAATAATTTACAATTTCAACAAATGCTTTGGAAATAAAATCTTAGAATGAAACCCTTACAATTTCAGAAATGAATTCACGACACAAAAATAACGCGAAAGGTTCATGTAAATATTTGTCCTAATCTGATCTTGTTTCCAGATTACAGACGTTCTCGTATTTCATTAATTCTCGATACAAACTGAACCAGCGTAGCATTTTCACGTTTCTGTTTCTAAAGGAAGTGTTAAAAATGACCACACCTTGGGCTCGATGATGAGTTTTGAACGTCTCACCATTGGTCTTTTAATATATTCGAACATTCCTGGTATTGTTCTGATTTGCTATCAACTTTCTCCAATACACTGACAGAGTACATTAACGTTGTATTGTAAATAACAGGGTTTAAGTGACCCTGCATGTAAAAATTCGATGGATTTCAACCTGGCGACTTAAATTAACAAACCTAACAAGAATTAGCGAAATACGAAAATATCTGTAACTCGGAAATAAAGTCAGATAGAACAAATGTTTATATGAACTTTTTGTGTTATTTTTATGTCTTGAATTTATTTCTAAGATTATACTCACATATTATGAAACAGTCTGTATATATACGTATCATATGCTTTCCACGTGTCGTGCTTCTTCGATCGTGCTGGTTAATAAAACAATTCGATGAGTGACGACGATGGCACCGCGATAGATAATTTTCGCGTGCGTGCGCGCCCACACGTACATCGATATCACTTTCCGCACGTAGTCGGGAGACAAATACATAATGTAAGTTGCTTCCTCGAAGGAAACGGCGTGTCGCTCGGTTAGTCGTAGCGAAAAGAGAACGGTCGGAATGGTTTTCTAAAATCCGATTACGCCGGCCGACTTAAGCGGATTTTCGTGAAAACTACGTCACGCCCGCGTTTGAAATCCGTTGTGCTTATAAACAGAAAGATGATAGGATTTATCTTGCCGGGCGTTTCTTTGTATTCGGTAACAATGAAATTTGTCCCCTTTCTCGCGGATAAAGGCGATTCTCACGTAGGCGTCGCGGTATGCCCCCTTTGATGTTGGAAATTGCACTCTGCAACGGACACGCCATTCGTAAACGTCGTAAACGTCGCTTTAATTCTCGCCTTATTTACGAGCGATACTTGTGTGCACCTCGCGGAATACGCGAGACTGACGATATCATTCGTCGCGTTCGCCCGTCTCACAATGTACGAATCTCATCCCCTAATGCGATCTAAAAATAACTCCATCATCCAGCGTATCCTGTCGGTCCGAATTTAGCGATCTAATTTCGGATTAGATCGCACTGTTGTCTGACTTGCCATTCATCTTTACCGCGAATCTAATACCACTCCGACGCCGAATACTCCAATTTGACGGCAGGTTTATTTTAGGAACCGGTGTAGATATCCGGCTCGCTTCGATATCGCCCCTAATGAGAGCTCCGTTTCCAATTGATTTCAGGTTGAACTACTTGATGGCGGGTTTGAGTCCAATGTGGTATCACGCCACGAACGTCGCCCTGCACGCCGCTGCGTGCATCTTGGTCACCAGAGTGAGTCTGGTGGTGGCGGCGCTTCGGCCAGGATTCGCGGCTCTCACCGGGCTGCTGTTCGCCGCTCACCCCGTGCATACGGAAGCGGTAAGTCCGAGTATCTCGCGCCCTATCCTCCGGGAGAACAGAAACGTCGATGCTTTGACTCGTCGGACGTTCTCCGGATGCGATGTTCAATTCTCACTTAGGAATATCATATTAATCCGATCCCTCTCTAACGCGTTTCTTGTCGCTGATTAATCTGCCGGATAAACGTAATTACCACATTCATGATCACTCGGTTTCATCATATTCGCTCGCGTTACCCCAGCTGGCTTTCATCCCCCACCGTTTTCGACGTTCAGTTAATATTCAATAGCATATTCCTGAACGTGTACTTACGCGTTACACGGCCTACGACGGCAAATTTACGCTAAGCCAAACAAAACAACAAGATTAGCGGAGTCCACTCGCTGCGTAACCGCCTCATGTGCGCGTGCAGAGAGTCTGGCTGATCCGCTTTTCCTAAGTGCATAAACGTAATTAGCCTAATCTTATTATGGCTATGATCGTGACGGACAGAATTTGAAGCGCTACCCCGTGTGTGCCCCCTACGGGGAGCGCAGCTGTTGTTTCAGAATAGACCTGTTTTTGTTGTAATCAACGTTAGCGCTTATAGAACATTGGAGAAACAATCGGCCGGGATGTGTGCGCGTGTGCGCATTACTTCAGGCAAATCACGAGCTTTTCTTTCGAACTGCATAACGCGAGAGTACGATATTAGAGAGCCGTGAGCTTGCATCAGGCAAGCTTGTACACGAGCTGCGTCACGATGAGAACGATGAACTTCTCGATGCGGTCGATAATGCCACTTAAGCCGTTTTGCTTAAACGCGTAAACGAATCGCAACGCTTCGCTCGCTGTTATTGCGCGAATTGTATTATCAAGTATTTCTGGGAATAGAAATTCGAAGGGCTCCGTTAGATCAAGAAGTTGCGAAACGGTCGGAAACAATGTCGGCAATTACAATACATCCGTTCGACGGCGGAGTCGGACGCGAGTCGATGAGAGGTCGTCGAGTTTCGTTACAGGCAATCGCCGAAGTAACACACAACGTGTTAACAATGCGCAATTTTCTCTCACCGCGGAGTAAATTCGCGAAAATTGGCAGAGGAAAAGCATCAAGACCGATATACTATTTTGTTTTTAAGTTGTAAAACTATTGAAGTTGAAGTAGAGTTAAAATCGATATGCATGAATATCGATATGCAAATCGGCAATGTTTCTCTACCAAAGATTGTGGATTTTGAAAATTACTACATACTGTTTTGCAAATAACTACTTTTTAAGAAAGTGGATAAATGACGCTTCGAAAAAGTAGATTCCAAAATCGACATATCTATGATACTTTCATGATAAAAAATTTTGTATTAAAAACAGTCCACTGAAATTTGGTGTCACTTTAACGAAGGTAATGCGTTAAAAAGTACAATATATGTTTTACAAGATAAGTGTGTTAATTTAACGTTATATTTATGTACTTTTTAACACATTCCCTGTGTTAAAGTAACACAAAATTTCAGTGAATCATTTTTGAATACAAAATCTTGTATTATGTACCAGGAAATTGTCAAAAAATAGTATAAAATCATTGTAATTACATTACTTTGTACATTTATTATATATCCTTACATGTTATCTTTCATCTTACCTATTGTTTATTAAAGGAGAAGGTGGTATTATGAACCTTGTAAGTATTATAGCCGACTTTAATATCACTGCTATTAGGGTAAGACGAAGTAATGGTGGTCATCTAAGCGGAAACTCTCATAAAAAAAACTGATAAGAAATGTCGGATTCAGGATCTGTTTAATGCAATGAATATCTACAGATATTTATTATAATATAGACTGATGCAGAAAATTCTATAAAAATATGTACCAGAATGACAAATGAAAAAGCGAAAAATGAGATTTGACCGGGATTACTTCGAAATCAGGGCAATGTCTGTCAACGAAGTTTACAGTATATAAAACAGGAGAAGACATACATTTCATTAAAAATCGAATATATTTATTATAAAAGAGGTATTTAAAGGATTGCATATAATATCTTGAAAAAAATAATCAATTGTTTATTAATTTGAATCCATCACAATGATTCCTATCAAGAGTATTCTAATCATTCCAACTCTTGTTCGTCTAAAGTTCGTAAAATATGTTGCAAAAAACTACATTTCATTATCTCTCCCAAATTCTTTACAAAAAGAACAACTTTTAATCCCAGTTACTACAGTACTGACTGATTGGCATTACCTAAAAATTACATGTTTTCACAAATAGAATAACCATATTATAACAATCCATTAATTCAGAAAATCAATATTCCTACTATATTAAATGGTTTAAGTGACATTGCAGAAAATAGTGCAATAATTTAGCATGAATAAATATACCGATTTATTACTTTGCCGGCTTAGCAGGATTCTTATTCAGAAAACGAAATAAATTTTTCGCAATAGCTTAGATAACGGTATTTTATCTATTACTTCTTTCGGCCCTCCACAGACGTATTGAATTTAATTCGTACCGACCAGTCGAGATATAGATGTGACCGGCATTATTCCATTCTCCCCTAAATGACGAATTCTAGTGATTATTTATGGAATCATTTAGTAGCCCGTCGTTACGCAGTAAAGATGATATGCAAATACAATACAATATCCGGCATTTATTACGCATTTTTACTTTCGAGCATTTCAAAACATTTTCAAAGTATATTTTAGCATTTGATTATATATTTTCCTTAACCTTCCGAGTAGCAACGAATTTTCATTACCTTCGAAGTGGCAACCAAAATCATTTGTGCCTTCCTAGATTTTTCTTCTTGAATCACTCAAATAAATCCCCCAAAATTATTAGAACTTCCTTTACCCATTTACTTAAGAACGACATAGATATTTTGTCAACGATAAATTGCTAAGTATTTTATTTTTAATGATTTTTAAACGAAGACGGATAAATATAATGTATCATATTAGAAAATATATAACTTAAAAATATAAATCAATTAGAAAAAATTCTTCTAAGCTTTTTAAATAGAGATACAGATATATAAAAACTAACTTAATATTTAAAAAAATATATAATTATTTGCGAAAGTGGGAATCGTCAATTTAAAAGATTGAATAAATGTTCTCGGAAAAAATCATTTTTAAAAGAAAATACTATCTTTGTCTACAAAATTATTACAAAAAAATATACAGAAAGATATACAAAGGCATACAATCTATAACAATAATTGAAAAATTTTCTATGTGTGGTTGTAAACAGTTGCAACAACTACGGAGAAATGAAAGCCAGTAAAATAAGGCTTATATATTCCTTAAAAATTCAAAAAGATGTGATTGAATAAATAAAAATGACGAACTGCAACTTACACTTTTGGTATACGTCAAATGGCAACCAGGTCAACAACAAAGTTTGTGTCCTCGCATGACTTCAACTGCTTGCCATTCAGTAAGATACTAGGATTCCAACGGCTCGCGGGCTGTGAGTTGTTCTCACCGCTCAGTTTTTTAAGGAGGTGAACTGAGGTGCAAAGTTAGGCTACTGCCAAGAAATGAATGCTTCTTGCAATGATCCGGACACAAATGACCCTTGTTGCCATTTATATAGTTAATCTTGGGCATATTATTAATATACGAATATACGCTTGAGTATTTTGTTCGTTATTTAACATTTTATTCTGTTATATACATTTCAAGTTATGCAAAATTAAACAATAACATGACATTGATATGATTTGTCCTCTCGTCAAAATAGACTTAATACAATTTCTTTTCCGAAGTTTTCATGTCGAAGTAGTTATTCGATAAATCAATAATTCAAGTTAAGCTTGAAAATCTATCCATTTTGTAGAAATTGTCCTTTTGATAGCTTGTATCTATTTTCTGACAAGCAAGTCAGTATCTACATTATCTACATTAAAAGTTCAGTATCTAAATTAAAAATTCACGGTTATATTAATTGTTGTTTCTTCGAAGAAAGTTTATTTTCGATAAATACATAAATTTATAACGAAACACTGGTATTTAAACAAAATCAATTTTTTCAATTTATTTTAGTGAATAACTGCATTACCATCTCTATTTTTCTCCGATTTATTTTGCAGTATCGCCACATTTTTATAAATAACGTCCTAAAATCTCTCATAATTTTGAATCTAGAATTGATTGAACAATTTAACATTTTGTCCAATGTAATCGTTATATTTTCAATTAAAAATA